ATTTCAGCCCCAAAATTTCTCGAAAATTCGAGGGGAGAAGCCCCTTGTATTCATCTTCAATGTCCTTTGCAATGGCGTATGCGCTCGAACCCATCTTCTCATTGAGAGACAACAGTGCCTCTTTGATCATCTACATCAATCCATCACCAAAAATAATTTGCAAACAATATGTTAAAGCAGAACACAAATGGAAACCCTAAAACAACTAGATAAATCATTTAAGATAGTACCAAGGGGAGTTCGCCAAATGGTATGATGTCTCCTCCCATGAGGAGAGGTTCAAGGTGGAACCATGGTCCATGGAGATTGTTTTTGTTGAATGTAGGGATGCACAAAAAAACTAGTTGAATTAGTAATAATTGAACTAAACCGGACTCCTTGTTTTTTGTCTTATATTTTTCACAGTTTGTTTTGATCGAGATTCCAATAACATGGAACCATCTATAAACGATTTGGTTCTGTTTTATAGTTTTAAAATACTAAACCTAATGTATTAAATATAATAAAAGTAGCCTTTTTGTCACACAAGTATATATTATAATATATGTAATAGAATAATATAATGATTGTAATCTATATATATATATAATATTTTTCATAAGATCACTCAAAATTTAGTTTGTGGATGTCTGATTTTCCTTAATGAAATTATACTTTTGATAGGTAAAAAAAAACAAATTGACTAATTGGATTATTGGACTTTATCTTGTTACGCGGTTTGGTTCTATTGGTTTCATTCCAAATTTATGGGATCTTTGGGAGTTAGGATTGATTTAATTCCAAGATATTCTTAAACCAACCCAATTTGAACCGTGTGCGCATCCCTAATGTAACGATATCACTATACATGTTGGATAAATACGAGGATTGGTGCATGCATCATATATCCAAAACTAGAATGATCATGTACAGTAAATAGTTAATTATTGAGAGTATTATGAATAGGAGGATTAATTAGTTCACTAATTACATGAAAGTAAGAAGGATGATGATAAACATTCTTGGCCTTTTGGGGCTTCTTCCTCTTCCTCTCCTTGCCAGACTTGTTTGGCACTCCACATTCCTCTGTCTCTGATTCCTCTTGTAGTGAATTCCTCGCAAAGGAATATCAATTTCATTTGAGACCATCACATCAGCATCTACATCTACACCAGTTTCATCTACATCTACATCGACACCAATTCCCGCCATTACAAATACCCGAAGTAGAAAGTGGATTAAAACTAAAATGATCGATATTCGAATAAATTAAACTATTGATTCAATGCAATACTTGCTCGATCTTGAGAATGTTTAAAGATGCATACAGGTATTTATAGTAAGGAATGGTTCATGTGGGACGAGTACTCAAAATATGATTGCTCGATTGAGGTCACATAAGTAATTTAATCAGATTAATTGTGATTTGGACTAGACAAATTAAGTCAAATAATGGGGGATTAAGGCAATGACAATTCAATGTAATGGGATTAAGACAATAACATGAGCAATTTATTGTATATTTTGAAAGAAAAAAAAAAAAAAAAAAAAAAAAAAAAAAAATGTGCGTTCATTTCAACTCTTTAATTAGGAATCACCAAGTTAATGAAATTAAAAGACTAAACACAAAGAAAAAAAATAGCTAATTTCATCCCTAACACTCAATATAGTTTTTGATATAGTCACACTTTTATCTGAGATGTATTTCTCGTGATGTTAATAGAAGTGTTTCGTTATCTCGTGATCTATTATGTTATTCACAATTAATTTTGATATTGAGAATCTCCTTTAGATGTCATGGTGGAAGTTCCAAGAGATTGTAATTAGTTGATTTGATTAATGAAAATTTTTATTTTTAAATATATATATATATAATTAGGGGAAAAAATGTTTTCCAGCTCTTTCAAATCCGTTACTTGAACGAAACTAAATATTATTTAGTGGAATCATATTATAAATTCAGAACCTTGCTAAAATATTTATCATTATTTACCAACCACACATCCAATTATTCGATACGTTATTCAAAAAATTCGATCAATAACATTTATTTCATATTTGCTTATTTCGATGTTACACTCTTCTTATGTATTTTTTCTTTTTATATCATCCCATTCCCATAGGATTTGAATATGTATTTGTCTCTGATTTGAAATATATATATATATATATATATATATATATATATATATTTGACTCTTTATCAATTGAGTAACATTTTTTACTTAAAAAAAAATTAACATTTCTAAACCATAACCTTTCTATTAAACATAGCTTGATTTGGAATGATAATTTTTTTTCTGATGTGACATATTACCTACATATTTTCTGTCTTCAAGCATACACCTTTCCTTTTTCTTTCATTTCCTTTTTGTACATGGATTTCTAAAACATTATTTTTTACAAGTAATTGGTACACATGTGAATGTGACAACTAATTCCGTCTTTAACTGAATTAGTGTACAACTCAGTTACTCTACTTAAAAATCAATTTTGTCTCTTAGATGTGTCACGAGGAGTTTAACTATTCGAGCAGTACAACTTACGAGATACCACTAAGTTATAAGGTTCTTGATTAATTTACCTTAAAATGAATTAACCAATTAATGATGATTATCACATTTATGATGTGTAGGTCCAATTCTCTTTCATTTATTTATTTAATTTTTAATATTCTTAAAAACTCATGACCCATTAATTTGGTGATGAATTTATTATCAAGAGGGTGTTCCTTTTTTTTTTTCTTTTTTCTTTTTTTTTTAAGTATGGCTCCATAACATACACATCATTAAAGTTAGGAGTGCGGTTCAAAAACGAAACCTTAAGAACTTATCTTCCGAATCCTTGCCATCATTGCTACGTCCCTTGAGGCCAAGAGGAAGTTCCTTACTTAAGAGATAAGTATTCGTTTTTATTATCAATAAGAATTGAATTAACTTCTTATATGAAAAGTAGAGTCACTAATTAAATGTAATATAAATGACATGGAGTGGTGATTGCTTGTCATATTACAAACACATTGAAGGAGCCGGGCCGGTCCATTCAATCCAGAACATTACTGGGCTGTTGATCCACTATCAGAACGACCCACTAGCCCAAAGATCTACTAAACCACTTCCAGGTCCAATCTCTTCAGTGTTGCATAATGGACTTCCATTCACTACGGCCCAAAGATGAGCCCCGCTGAAGATTGGTCCAGGTTTTGAGAGTTTTGGGACAGGTTTTAGGACAAATGCATGCTTCTATAAATAGGAAGAGGAGGAAAGAAACTTTAACTAAAAAAAAAAAAAAAAAAGAGGAGAAAAAAAAAAGAAAAAGAATTGATTGAAGTGTAATAAATTACTTTCTTAATAGAGAGAGCAATTTCTTGCACCTTCACACATCCTTTCTCCTTTTTTTTAATCCAACAAAACTATTATTCAACTAATTTAAAATTTTCTAAATCACTTTTCTCTCCATTTAAAATTTTTCTAAACTAACACTACCCAAAATATATATATATATATATATATATATATATATATATATATATTACTATATATATATATATAGTAAAATTAAAACCTATATTTATTTAGAGGTGTAAGACTTTCTTTCACTACTCACTCTTCTATCCATCATGCATAAAATTAAAATCTTGCATTGTAGGTTTGGATACTAAAAGGACTATATATTAAGTCATTGAATAATTTGAAACAAAAATTTTGTTATATATTTTTATATTCAATTAAGAGTAAGAAATATTTGTTATTGTTGATGTATCTTGATGGATTTGGTCAAATTTATAATGTGCACAAAAATAAAAAATAATATTAATACACTTTGCCTTCTCTACATGTGATTTGGCTTGCCTAGAAATTGAAGTAAAAAAATTTGTAGCATTATCATTAAAGTAGTTTAGGAAACTTTTAAATAAGTATATTAGTTGTTTTGTTAAATTAGGAAAGAAAAAAGACGAGTTCGTAATATGACCATTGAATTATATTCAACCGTCAGTATCTCAAGGATGAGTAAGAGATCACCATTAGAGATCTCTTGCTCATCGTTATAATAACGTTAAATCTTAAATTGCATTTGGTGATCTAATTCTCACCGTTACAATAAAGTAAAATTTTAACATGCATTCACACTTTTTATAATAACCTTAAATTTTAATAGTTAAATTCAAAACTCACCTATATTATTTCATTTTAATACAAAATCACTCTTGTCATATTTTTAATTTTTAAATTTAATATTACCAAAATCATCCATTATAAAAATAAAAAATAATTACCTACCTCTCAGCTCATTTTACCCTCTCTTAGGTAGGGCTGCAACTCGGGCGAGTTTGGTAGATTTAAGGTATAACTTGAGTTTAACCCATCATATGAAATGTTAAACCTAAATCCAACCTTAACCCTATCATTAACCATAACTACTAAATCCAAGCTCAACCCATCCTTTTACTTTTAAATTTGGGCTTAGATTTTAAGTAAAAACTTCGGATTACTCGTATGACTAATCCTTATACCAAAAATTTAATATGATTTTGAATTAATTTTAGATTAAATTACTCTTAAATAAGAAAAAGTTTAAAAACTTTTTGTAGATTTTAAATAAATTGCAAACACATTTTTAGAAAATTAATTCTTCTAGATGTTAATATACAATAAGTTAAGATTTAACAAAAGAAATTGAAAAAGAAAAAAAAGTAATCATAGTTTAAATATTATATATAATGTATTAAAAAGTAAAAATATATATGAAAATAATATTAGAATTTGGATTCGGGTTGGCTCGGGTTACTAGCACGTTAACACAAGTTCAATCCTAATTAAATTCGGGTTAAAATTATTCAACCCAAGGCAACTCTAATTATAAAAATAATTGTCCAAGCTCGTAAAAAATCGGATTGAATTTGAGTTGGGTTTGTAAAAATAATTTGGGTCGACAGTTAAATCGTAAATCGTAAAACATAAAACAACCGACACGGCGTCGTTGTTTGTCCTTCCAAATTTGGGTTGTCAATTTTGTCCCTGCCCAGCTCTCCAGCTCTACCTGAACTCGAAGTGAGCAGAAAACCCAACAATCGAACTACAATCCCCCCACACCGCGACCACCACTGCCGCCGCCACCGACCACCACTAGCACCACTACCACCACCATCGCCGCTGTATGGGTGCATCGGAGTCAACCCTCTCAAGCTCACAGGTAAATAATTCACAATTCAAAATCCATAACCTTTCTGCATATTTTTCAAAGAATTCCTGTATATTATTTTTGTTTTTTTCCATCATAATTGCTTATGTATAGAGACTGGGCGATGAAATCACCACCGTCTCCGAGAAATCAGAAGGCGTAGATGTTATCCTAGAGAGGCTCAGATCTCTGAAAATCGTCAGTCTCTCTCTCTTTGTTCATCTTTTTCTAGGGTTTTAATCGATTTTATAATTTCTCCTGTGTCTTAAATTTTATATTAAGATGTATATTTGTTAATGCAGACAACTCCAATACTGACATCGCCTCCAACGGAAACTAGTTTGACGGACATTCTAGTGAGAAAACCATCTTCTTCTTCTTCGGCTCCTGGTAACAATTTTGCTTTTTTATCTTTTTTATTTGATTTATCAAATCTAAGAGCTCTCTCATCACTCATGCTATGCTCGGTTGCATGGATTTGGTGCATTTGAATTGGAGAAAATTTGGTTTAATGTTTGATTTTATTTTTTTTTTCCATTTCCAAGGCACCATACATAACATCATAGTATTTTGTTTTGGGTTGAAGGACAATGTTCCTAGTGCTATGTTTGGGAGCACTGAAGCGGTGCCTTGGGATTGGAATCTGAGAAAATTTGGTTCAAACTTTAACTGAAATTTTTTCAATTCCAATTCCAAGGCGTCGATTCGGTGCTCCCAAACTATATATAACATTTGAAGTTAGTTTACATACTACTCCGTATACACAAATGCTCGTAGCTTAACTCACTCAATACTAAAAGTTTGTGACGTGCATTGTCTTTGCACATTGTGTTTAGAGTGTCTTTAAAAGCTTAGAAGCTTTTATGTTTTGCTTTCTTTATCTTTTCTACAGCTAGTTCTGAAATCTATTGTTGCAACTCTCAAAAGTACAAATTGAAAATTTGCAATCTTTTTTGCTGGAATAGGATTTGAGGTTTTGTCAATTTGGGTATGAAGGTGGCTCTTAAATTAGTTCTCAAGTTATGAAACATAATAGTGTTAAAGATATCAGAACTCGGAATTTTCTCTTTCCACAAATTATGTTGGTCAAGAGTTACTCTCATACTCTCAAGAGGCAACATTCACCGGGGTCAGGCCAAATGTTTTCATCGGAAAGAAACTTGCCATCAAAATCTTTGGAGCATGCTCTTACAAGAGCAACTAGGCTATTATCATGCACGAGAAAAGCAGTGCCTCAAGCTAACTCAACACAAACAGCACCCCTCAGCCTTTAAATGATTAAAGATCTCCAGAGTAAGTCATAGAGTCGGAAAATGCAATGCATGACAGTAATTCTCCCTATAAAACCTTGTTTCATACAATAAATCTGGCTAGCAGGACAGTAATTCATAGTTATTAAAGGCCCAAGGCGCACCAAGGCGCTAGAGGTCCTTTGGAGCCTAGGCGTGAGGCACACGGCAAGGCGCGTGCCTGAGTGAGGTGAGGCGCACAATTGAAAATTTAAACTACCATAATAACATTCATGTCTCATAAGTCATATCAATATTCTAAAATTTAATATCAAATATAAAAAAGTAAATCCATCAACTATACAAGCATTCAACAACCATAAAACAAAGTACAAATTTGTTTTCTTAAAAGGCAAAGCAAAATGTGATTTTTGAATGGCAAAAAAAAAAACAAAAAAAAAATTGTTAACAAGAAAAAAAAAGAAAAAGAAAAAACAAAGCAAAAAAAAAAAAAGACAGAGAGATGGGAGAACTAGACGAAGAGAGAGATGTAAACAAAGATAAGAAGAGAGGAGAGATCTAGAGGAAAGAGAGAAAAAAAAAAAAAAAAAAAAAGAACTGATGTGGCTTCGTCGTTCATCTTTGCAATTAGGGTTTCGTCTTCGTCTCACAATCTCATTCTATCGTTGTTTGGTTAACACTTTGACTCTTGGGCTTTCTTATTTTTTTCATTCTTTTGAACAATAGTTCCTTGTATCATATGATTGAGCTTTCTTTTTTGTTTATTAAGTTGCCAAAAATACCCCTTTTTGGCTTAAGAAATAGAACAATCGTATTTTTTTAAACAAATATCAGTGAGGCGCACCTCACAAACAAGACGAGGCGCAACTGAGACGCGCGCCTAGTAAACATCAGTGAGCCTGGGATGACAACAGGTACTAAACCTGAGCCTCGAGCCTAGGCGCGCCTTTAACAACACTGCAGTAATTCACTGGTCTAAAGAGATTTCAAAACTTGAAGGTCCAATGAAAATGGATTCTCACGGTTTCAGCTCTTTGGGGAATGGAGCTATAAAGAACGTTAGTATGTGTTATGTCATCATAATGAAGTTGTGCTTCGCTTCAGAAGTTTTGGCTTTTTGTGCCCTTCTAAAGGTATCAATTGCCAAAGTAGAAATGTAGAATCATAGCCCTGAGTTCAAATTCATACCTCCCAACTCTCCTCTGTGTTCATGTGCATGATTTTACAAACCTGTAAAGTTGCTCTTCAATGTAAATCTCTTGCTGCAACCCATTTATGTTCGGTTTATATTGGCAACATCATGCATCAGTAACAATCAACTTTGTTCCTTCCCATACTATGGTGATTTAGCAAAGGTTGTAACTTCATTGTTTTGGCTTTTACTGGTTTGTTTTTGGTCCCAATGATGTATTCTTGTATTATTGCTTTTTCAGCACTATTTCTTTGTTTGTAATACATCAACTTTAAATAGCTAAAGTTTGGTTGACTGGCTAAATATTTGTGTTCCTGCGTTGAAATAGGGACGGTAAATCCGAAGGTGCTTCTAGAACTTTTCTCCACGTATCGTGATTGGCAGGAGGCAAAGGCCCAGAATATTAGTAAGAAACAGGTTTGTGTTGACAATTACAAAGAATCATATGCTTGAAGATACTTTAGTCAGCATATTTATGACTTTCGTACAGCCAAGGCATGGGATGGAATCGATGGATTAGATCTGCAGCAGATTTTTTTTGAAACTCTGTTTGTTTTTCTGTTCTTTCTTTTCCTACAATACACGTGAATCTGGATTTGAGTTGGATATTTAGTATTGGGATCTAGATCTGATTTTTGGACAGGTATATGGGTTCAGATCCAATCCAAGTTATAGGTCTACTAACCATGCGGGGCCACATTTGAGCCATATGTAACCTAGATTCTTCGAACTTTAAGCAACTTTGAAGAGTGATTGTGGCGATCAGCTACTAGGAAAGGAAAATGATGAGTAGTCCAATACACGTCTGACTTTTTTATGTGAGTTGGGGATGACGTCATCATATTTGATGACATCAGCACACATAGATATTGTCGGATGTGTGACGTGACTGACTTTCGGACTCTGTATCACAACTCATTAAGATGTTATAAATACAATGTTAACTACCACAAAAAGAATCCATTGAACCATCAACAGCATTTGCATCTGCTTCAGATACTTAGGTAGTTATTCCTCCCTAAAAATTGCTTTTATCGACTACTATTACCAAATCCTAAGAATCTGAACTTGATTGGATTTGATGCTCAAGCCTGCGTTATCTCATGTCCTAGGAGCTGTCCTAATATATAGATGCTCGTCTACTTATGAAGTATTGTTCCCTGGGTTAAAAGATTAAACCAAAGCATAAATCGTCCAAAAACTCTGCATCTTTTTTGTTAAAACAAGTGCTGGGAGCTGATGAGCTTTATAAGAAGACGATTTTAATAAGTTCCTGGCATTCTTGTATGCCACCTTTGTAATTTCACTATGAGATTATATCTACTGATTTTGTAAGCGTTTTGTAGTTGAATCCACTATTTGAATGAAGTTACTCTGAATCCGAGGTTTGCCTTTGTATCAAGGAAGTTTGTTTTGCTGCTGACATGATCTGCTATCCAGTCCTCATCTCAAGTATGTGCTAACTTAGTAGTAATTGTTGCAGGAAGAGATAGAAAACAAAATAGAAGTAGCCGATGCTCTGTCTGTTAAACTCCTTCAACGTTTTAATTACTCGGTCTCAGCTATGAAGACAACTTCGCATCATCTATCAGGAGGTGACCTAATTCTTTTGTCTAGACTCTTCTTTCTTATGTTGGGTTCTTAAGCTCTTCTTTCTTATGTTGGGTTCTACAATCAATTGGCTATTATATATGTTGTCCACTTGCTAAAATCGATGGAATCGGTTGATAGGTAAACAATAATGTTTTCGATTATGAATGTTTGGCTCCGTAGATTTTAGTGAGAATCCCCAAAATGGCTATGATTTGAGTTCCTCCTGGATATGCCAGGGGCATTGATCAGGTGATGGGATGACATCTTGAATGCACCATGGTCTTGCAAAATCTGCTGATTTGATCTTCTAGATAGTGGGTTTAGTATAGTAAGTAGATTCTGCTATTTTTTATATTGATACTAACTTATGCCCAAAAAATTGTATGCAGTCCATGCATTGCAGGTGGAACTCGGGGAACTGAAGGGAAGGTTGACTGAGGTAATTAGTAATTGTGATGCATTATGCAAGAGAATTGATACACAGGGACCAGAAACGCTTCGATCATCCATCAAGCCATTTGCAGTAGCTTCTGTAGACTCCGAAATCAGCTGTAGCTCACTTTCTCAACAAATAGCGTTACAAAGTCGTCCATCTGCCACAGAAGCCAAGTTAGACTAATTTCCACATTTTTGTTATCTTCTTCCTATTCTATTTTTCACAGAAGCCAAGTTAGACTAACTTCGACATTTGTTTCTTCTTCCTTGTATAGTAAATTTGGAGAAATTATTACATTGTCGGGGCTAAATGGTCCGACCAATCACAATGTGTTAGTCTTATAAAGATTTTTACTTGTGTCTAGTTGTAATTGTTCGGGACCACATAGTTTCGGACCAGGTAATAATTTCTTGTGAATTTAACTCTTGCTTTGTAGAAATTGAGGTTATACTCAGTTCACTGAGTATTGCAGAATATAATGTCATAGATGTTTTTTCTTTGCATTGCATATTTTATAAGATGAAATGTCGTGCACTCAGCCTGAGATGTTTCATTTGGTCTTTACAAGTAATACTATGGCCGCGTGGAGTGTCATTCACTTGGTTTAAAAGGACCAACATTAATTACAAAATCAAGGAACCATGTGAGCTTTCTTATTTATATAGCTGTGCCCACAAAAATTAAAAATAAATTATAAATAAATAAATAAATACAACTGCAAGGATTTTGAAACAACATCAAATAATGTGGAGGAACTAAGCTAGATAGTTCAAGTAAACACTTTCGACTTAAGAGGCTAACAGAGACTATTAGATCTGAGAATCATAATTTAAGAATTTTCATAAATTTAAATAAATAAACAATGAAAAAAATAAAAAAAAACAATAGAAGAAAAATACCCATTAACCATTAGCTCTACTGACCATTGTTGAAACAGAAAAACTTTAAACAATACAATTGAATTGACCCATAATTGGAGAAGGAATGAAGAAACAAAAATGGTGGTGATCAAGGTTGTTGCTGAGTATCCATAAATCCAGCATCAACAAGCACTTTCTCTCTCTTAGCCATCTCTACATCCTCATCAACCATCATCTTCACCAACTGTTCAAACCCAACCTTGGGCTTCCATTGAAGCACCTTTCTCGCCTTGCTCGAATCGCCCTTCAAGTTATCAACCTCTGCAGGCCTGAAATACCTCTTGTCAATCACCACATGGTCTTTCCAATTCAACCCCACGTACCCGAACGCCACCTCCAAGAACTCCTCCACCGTGTGTGACTCCTCCGTCGCCACCACGTAGTCGTCGGGCTTCTCCTGCTGCAGCATCATCCACATTGCCTCGACATAGTCTCCGGCGAAGCCCCAGTCTCTGGAGGCCTTCAAATTCCCCAAGAACAGCTTGCTCTGCAGCCCGATCTTGATCCGACCCAAGGCCCGCGTGATCTTCCGGGTCACAAAGTTCTCGCCCCGCCGCGGCGACTCGTGGTTGAAGAGAATGCCGTTGCAGGCGTAGATCCCGTAGGCCTCGCGGTAGTTCACGGTGTACCAGTGGGCGGCGCATTTGGACGCCGCGTACGGCGATCTCGGGTGGAATGGGGTGGATTCGGATTGGGGAGGCGGGGTGGATCCGAACATTTCTGAAGATCCGGCTTGGTAATACCGGATATCGCATCGGCCGGTGGCGGCGATGTGGGATCGGACCGCCTCGAGGAGGCGGAGGGTGCCGGTGGCCACGACATCGGCGGTGTAATCGGGGATTTCGAATGAGACGGCGACGTGGGATTGGGCGGCGAGGTTGTAGACCTCGTCGGGGAGGATGGTGTCGAGCCAGCGGCGGAGAGAGGAGCCGTCGGAGAGGTCGGCGTAGTGGAGCTTCATGTGGGCCTTGTGGGCGTTGTGTGGGTCGATGTAGATGTGGTTGATTCGCTGGGTGTTGAAGTTGGAGGACCGTCGTATCAAGCCGTGGACCTCGTAGCCCTTGTTGAGGAGGAATTCGGTGAGGTAGGAGCCGTCTTGGCCTGTGATGCCGGTGATCAGGGCTACCTTGCGCTTTGGTGGTGCCGGGGATTCGCCGCCATTTGGGGCGGCGGCGTCGACGGTGGTTGATCCGGATCTGGCCGTGTCGTTGTCGGAGGCCATTGTTTGTCAATGTATTTCCTTTGGCAGCTGTCGGGCTGAGGAGAGAGAGATTGACGATGGCTCTAGGGGTAATTATAGGTTAATACTTTATAGTAGTTGAGATTTGAGAAGGGGACAGCTTTTCTCTGATCTCCTACAGTCATATGCGATTTTCTTATTTTTTCTACTAGCCAATGAGAGTTTGCCACCATTCATATGCCCTTATGTTAGCCCTCGACCATTGTCCAAGGGAAGATATAGGCATTTTAAGGCCATGTCTTGGGAATACTTTGGCTTTGGTTAGAGATTTGGTGGCCCCAAGTGCCATTACAGAGGCAAAAATTCGTGGTGTAATTTAGTCCTGTAACACCTTATATGGTGGAGTTATTATTTGATCGGTCCGCATGGTCCTGCCAATAACAATGTGTCTTAATTTGTTATTGATTAAATGATGGTATTATATTATAATATCAAATCATATATTAAATTAATAATGCCATAAAATAATTACATTTTACATTGATCATTAGACCTCCCCATTACAAGAGAGATCTGATATTTTGGCTGTTGTCAATGTCATTGTGTGACAATGATATTCAAGTGTCTTTGTGGGTTGGGGGATAGGGAGGGACTGTTGCATGTGTGTGTCTGTGATTCAGCTTGCTTGGGCTTGTGGGTAGAGGGGCAATGAAAGTGCCCCAGTCTGATGACAGTATGTACAACTTGTGCAGTGTGATGAATAAGCGATGGTAATTGATTGGTGTATGTGGGAAAGGGAACTACATGCATTTGTTCAATGGGTACTATGGAGATTTCTAAGAGATCCTACACCATCGTCGTTGAAAAAAAAAAAAAATAATAAAAAAAATTGACCGATAAACTAAGTAATTATATATGGTGGGAAACTTATGCCTTTCACTTTCATATGTAATAAATGTATTCTTAAGTTGTTTTATTTTAAAGACGAAAAATTATTGTATGATCCTGGATTCTACGTGAGAACTTGAGAATACATGATCCTGTCAAATTATTGTATGGTCTGGGGACCATTGGTCACAAACAATCACATAGTGACACAAGTAAAAAGTGAAAGCATTTACATGACCCTGTAATAATATATGGTAAGAACTCCTCCCCATAGCTTTTACCTATATACTCCGTAATATTATCAGTTAATTAATTGAGTCAAGTCACAAATCATATAAGATCATTATAATGGGGAGTAAAAAGCCCAATGGGCCATAACTTCAGCCCTATTTGAATGGAGATTGGGTCGAGTTTTCCCAGCCCAAGCCCAGAACACATTTCGGCAGGAGACACGTCACATCAGAATCCGAATATTTGGATCAAGATCCCGATATAATCCACAGATTCAGTACTACGGAGACCAGAAAAACGCGGCGTAATGACACACGGCACACACAAAACGCACATAAAAACACACATTTAAGTGAACAGTAACGAAGTGTGCTATTACGCGCTCAAACCTGTATAAAACGACGGCATTTGTTGAAGCTTAGAGATTAACGCTAGTGTGTTCTAGGGTTTTCTTACACACACTGTCAACTAGTTGTCTTCATTCTGAACTGAGGACTAGGGTTTCGAGATTAAAAGATTAATCTTGTATCAAGGTCTTCGAAATCTATAGTCGATCAAATTCTGATTCACCGTGACAATCTGGTAATGAGCTGATTAAACATGGAGCGATTGAAGAAATCAAACAGGGTTTCTTGGGCTCCGAGTGTTGAACTTTCTCAGGTAGCTACATTCACTTAATCAAACACGTAATCTCTGTTTTTTTTTCATGATGTTGATTGTCACTTGTGAGATTGTTCCCACTTTCAGTCCTCTCCACTTAAAATTCACTTCATTCAACTGTCTCTCTATATATGTATGTATGTATATACACACAAACTTGGCTAATTGAGATTTTTTCAAGTGTTTACATTTACTTCTTTCTGGTTATTAGTTTGTTCCATTCGTGATTCACCAATTTATTATTTTAAATCATCATTTATATGCGTTTATGTTATGCAACACTTTTGGGTTGATTAGAAAATCTGGGGAAAATGGATGAATAAGATTTTTGTTCCTATATCTTGTCATTTTATTTCCGAAATATTAGAAAATTTTGATCCCAAATAAGCCAAACTTTGCATTGGTTAATTTGCAATGGTGTTGACTGATGATCAATTTCTAAAATCAATTTTTTGTTTGCTTCTGTTTGTCACATTCATTCGGTAACAAACAGAACTCAATTTAAAATTTGAACAGAAATATGGGTATCTAAATAAAACCTCAGAACAGAAATCTTATATTACTGAAAGCCCCAATGTTGAACACCTTAATGAAGGATGTTACTTCTCTGTGATATGTTATCAATTCAGTGGCAATGGCAGGCGATAAACGATCTATTCCAGTGGTAGTCGAAAACAGAGGCTACTAGCATTCTTTGAATAAATGTTCCAAAAAAGTAGTCTCAATTAGTTTGCCAACTACTTGAAATACTAACTGAATCCCACTTGTCATACCACTTGACAAATAAGTTTTAGTCAAAAAGTTCATTCGGCTTACATTTTGAGCTTGGATAGCATTACTTTTCCTTGAAATTTATTCTTCATCAAGTCCTTCAATTTCATCATCCACAATTCCTTCCAACTTAAATTTTTCCTCAACTTTTGCAATCTAATTAATGATTGCCATAATTTAGTGATTGCCAAGATTTCAATATTCAAGAACCATTAATAAGGATAAACTCTTTTGGAGATATAATCAAGAAAGTTTAACCATGCTTCGTCAAATAAAATCTCTATTATTGACGTTACGCAATCATATAAACTTATGAAAGTTATTTCTTAATGAATAACAAAACAAGGAAAATTAATAAATGGTTATTTACTTGAAAAATATGATAAAATGGCTGTGAAGATTTTAGTTAAGTCAATACTCGTAAGTATGAAACTTTCAATCTCACGAAAAGACCTCAACTATACTTCAAATCAAAGGTTTACATAATGGTATGCCAATAAACACTTGGAAGGGTTTTGGTAACTGAAGTCTTCCAGCTTCTCTGACATTTGTGGCAAATGACAACAATAATGAAAAATGTTTAAATACCAATCACACAATTGCTTATAATGTCTTTATTTAATTTTTATTTAAAAGATTCCACATATTTTTTCCTGAAAAAAAAAATGCTATAGCTCACAACTAGGAAGTTGTTTTCTAATTCAGGGGGTGTCCTATTTGGGTGGTGAATCTAATCTTGCTTCGTTATACAAGTGTTCATCAGGAACCTGATCCTTATACTTGGGGATTTTATTCGGTTATTATGAAGCTTAGATTTACATTAAACCATGTCAGTGAATGAAATTAAATTCTCTTACATGAAAAAAAAAAAAAAAAAAAAAAAAAAAAAAAAAAAAATGAAATTGAATTCCACAATGTTATGGGTGCTAGATAAGGCAATCATGAATTTTTTATATCATATGACTTCATACTCGAGCGTGCTTAAAGGATATCAAAGTGTCTACAACCTGTGGCTTCTGAAGAATTTTCTGATCTTCTAATCTAGATTTGATTTGAGTTCAAAATGGTTTTAAGATTCATTAACTTTAAAAGTAAAACCTAGTAAGAAACCTTACTGATTTTTGTTAAAATTGACATTGCAAATCAAGTGATAAGTTAGTGATACTTTAGTGATGTTCTATTGATTTAAAGTGAATTCTCCTCCTATTTTGACCTTTCCTTGCAGATGGATTTTGTAAAATATCAAGCCTAATTAAATATCATCTAGGTATACGATTGCTTTTGAGACCTACAATGACTATTTCAAAAGTGGCAAAACTGGAAGGACTTAAATTCATTTAAATTTATAATGTTTGCTAACTGAAGAATAATAATGGCCAAGTGAGAGCGGGTTGCCATCTAAAGAAACTTTCTAGAATGAAGAGGTTCATATAGGAATTGGCATAAAAAGAGCATGTCATGGAACTTTACATACATGCAAGGATAATGGAATTTTTTATATATAATTTTGTATTAAGTACCAAAAGAAAATTCGGAATGAGGTAAGAGAAACTAACCATATGTGATATGATCGTATCTTTCTTAAGTTTGAATATATAGTATGGGGATATACGTTGACCAAAGAGGAATGATTTTTGAATCAAGCCTTCGAAAGATATGGTTGTTGAGATATGTTGACGTAAGTATTAGTTTTTGGAGGAAGGTAGTGGAGCAGTTTTTTATTTTTTTTTATTATTATTTTTTAATTTTTAAAATGAGGTTTGATATTCCTATGGTGTAATATGAGGTAAGATTGGGGTAGTATTTTTTTTATGTTGTGGAAGGGAGGCATTTCTTTTTTCAAAATCTAATTTAGGATTGAAGCTATTAAAGAAGCCTTAGTAGCTGAATCCAGGATAGAGTGGTGCGGAGTCCGTGGTTTGGGAGGTATGCAAGATTAGTAGATGCTTCCTTTGAGGAGATTTATTCTTTGTGTTATTAAATGGAGGAATTGAGGATTTGGCTTGGACTGCAAATTATTGTTAAAAAAACCCCTCTCTGAATTTGCTTTTAATTAATTAATTTATTTATTTTGGATGCATTGTTTTGTTTGAAAAAAAATCTTTACTTATATAATTTGTGTGATGTGGCCCAAATTGGTTTTGGATTGTGTTGCGACCTGGTTTCTTCCCGGCGAACTCAAGAATATTTTTTTGACGGGTTTTTTGCTTGCGGACGTGGACCCTATTTAGTACACTCTTGTAGCCCGGTATATAAGAACGCTTAGGGTTTGGAGTGGGATTTGAAAGAACACTGAAAATCACATAGAAAGAGAGCGAGAGCGAGAGCTAGGGTTTGGGGGCTGAAAATTGTAATCTCCTGTTTTTTCGAATAGTGAAAACTTTCGCCGGACCTTCACCTTGGACGTAGACACCACTTGTGTCGAACCACGCTACATCTTTCTGTTTTTGTGTGTGGCGTGTTTACTTTTCTATCTTGATTCCTTATTTGTTCTTGATTCACTGCATTTGTTGTAACAATTTGGTTACAAGGGAACAAGATATTGAAAAATTAGATTTTGGTGACCAAAATTACAAAAGATTTGTTTTTTAGTGACCTTACAGACAAGAAGAGATGAATAGTCACCGAACTTAAAAAATAATTGCCAATTAGTGACCTATTGAGGGTAATTTAGTAAAAAACACTTATTAATTTATTACACCATGTAAAAGAAATTTTAAAATGACAAATTTGGCATCCAATACAATGGATCACTCCTCCAATGCATCCTCTTCTCTCTTCCTCCTCCACTTCCAATTCTTTGTCATCACTACCGTCTGACCCAACCCCATATCAAAATACTCCAACTTGTTATCAACACTGGTTTTGGTGTCTACCTCCTTTCTCATCCCTTCTCCAAATCCAAATACTCCAACTTGTAATCATCTTTCGGTAATTCAATTCCAACCTAAAAGAATACACAACTCTAAAAGAAAAATCAGTTGCTCATTTAGTTATTTCATATGCAGTTTCAATCAGATTGTTGACATCTTATTAAACATCATTATATGCATTTATTGAATGATTTGTCTTCAATAATAGTTTTACCTCGTACTTTCTAACAAACCCTCCTTCCACGTTTTGATTTCTCACCAATTTTCGACGTGAAAGCTTCAGCTTGTACCTTCATACGAAGCTCCCCCTTCACCAGCCATGGTCGAAAACCCTAATTGGGTTTTCACATACCCATTTCATCCCCTTTCATATCTAAAACAACTGATTGAACAGACCCACGTCCTCTCTCTGCCAGCACGATCAGTAGTCACCATTTTCATGATTACGGCCTCGACGTCTCCATACTCATTTCCCTCCCGTCTTCGTCTTCTCCTCCAAGACCCACCTGACATTACAGAACCAAAAAAAATAATAATTTTAAGGCTAGATTGTGTCCAATTATAAAATAATGTCTTATAAGAAGGACATATACATAATAAATGAGCAACTGGTCACTTGTTAGCATTTAAGTTCTGAATTTAATGCCTATTTATCTTTTTTTCTTGACTTTGGAGTCACTATTGAGCAATTTTGATCACTAAAATCTAATTTTCCCAAAAGTTTTTCCCAATTGTTGTTATATATAGAAATGATATGCAGTGACAGCAAAGTATTTATCGATCCATTGCTTGATGGCCATATATCTGTGAGATTTCGTGCGCCTCTTCAGGTTTTGTTGGGTAACAGTATGGGGGCTATGGATTTGATGAGTTGTCTCTAATTCAAAAGGAAAGTTAGGGAGGTGTGACGTATCAAAAAAAAAAATGTTAGGGAGTTGTGGCAGTTAGGACCTCTATGTTTTGCTCTTGCTCTTTGTTGGATATACAGGAAGAAAATTGGTAGTGTTCAATTGCAACATAGATTGCACTTGAGTTTTTATTGGTCAACATGTCTTTTATTTTAAGATTGACCCATTTCTTTTTGTTCTCTTGTCCTTTGAACCACCTAGCTTCTTGTTCAGTGGAGTAGCCAGAAATTCCTTCAGTGGGGGCAATTTTTAACAGCAATAATATATATATATATATATATATATATATTATTTGAACCAGAATAATATATGTAAAAATTAAACAGTACTAAATATTTCAGAATATTTTTCATATTCTGAAAGCATGCAGTCGAGTTTTCAAAATGTTCATGACATAATAATAGTAAATTTAGATGATAAAAAAATATATATTAGATTACCAGTCTCCACATTGCAGTATTTGTTTGGATTTTGTGAATTTTTGAAATATTGAAGACTCGCCAAAAGAGAAATGTTGAAGATTGAAAATGTGATGGAAATTAACAACGCATTTGTTTGTGGTAAAGTCAAAAGTGTGAAAGAATATCTTGTATTTTTTGAGAAAGTGAGAAAGAATATAATATTTTGAGAAAGTGGAAAAAAAATATCATATTTTTTGGAAAGATTATATTCCTTTTTCTTTTTTTTTTAATAATACCGTGAATGGTCATTTGGTTATATATATATATATAGTATATATATATGTGCAATGTCAACTTTTAGTGGGGACAATTATACAAATATAAAAATCTTTCTATATAAAATTAAAAAAAAATTAAAAAAATTAAAAATTCAGTGGGTGCAGCTGCCCCCACTTGTCCCTATGTGGCTACGCCACTGTTCTTGTTGGTGCAGTCATTGATATATCAATTATCATAATGAGATTTCAAAACACAAGGCTATTGATGGAGATTTGATGTCTGTACAGAATAAATTTTGTTTCCAGAAAAGTTAGGAAATCGGTAGTAAGAACATGATAATATTTTAATAAAAGTTCTGGATTTTTTATAGGAACAATAATGGGTAGCTTAAAGTTAAAATGTTGTAGTTAGAAGTATTTGTGATTAGTATGTTGTGCTGTGGGAGAAAGAAGAACGCAATAAAGAACACTTCATGGTCGTGTATAGTTGTTTATGAATTATAAAAATAAAAGTTACAAAGAGAATTCTCTTAGCGCCCATGGGCTGAATCATACGTCTGCTGTTTGAAGAGCCATCATACTATGGTCACACATACCTGCATTATGCTTTTGCTAAAAATTGCAGTTGGATTTCTCAAAATGGTTTGTTACAGATGGTCTTGCTAAATGCATCTGTTTCTACAACGTATGGTTCGTCACTCCCCTGAAGTTCTGTTGCTACAAGTTTTAGCATTGTTATGTGTTTATCTTTTTTCTCTTTTTCTTCTTTTGCAAGAATCATAAGAACATAACTTGGTAGTAGCAGACAGTCTCAATTTTTCTTTCTTATGTCTAGAATATTGCCGATCTTATATCAAGTCTAACGTGAGGTTCCCCACCCTTTTACAGTAGTGCATCTAATTTTTCCTTCTTGTGAAAGAAATTTTTCTATGAATGGACTAGCTTACATGACCATATATTTATAGAGAGAATGAGCAAAAAGAATTGAGAATCTTGGAAATGCTTAAGAAAGTCATGATGGAGGGAATGCATCAGAGAATGCATTTTTCATTGTTCAATAGAGGTGCCAAGGAGTGTTAGGGTGACTTTTGTTGAACTTTTAAGGGTTTTCTTATCACTTGGGCGTGAGTTTGGAAGGTCTATACCCATTTTCTGGGCCTTACCCTTGTCTTTTCAAAATAAATTATAATTATTCATGACAAAGTGTCTTCTTGTAATTTTTGTGACTTGTGAAAGCAATGAATGCTCTTTTATGGTCTTTTGTATTTTTTTTCTGAGAGATTCAGATAGATACCATCATGAAATCCTACTGTCTCAAAATGATCAAGGTCTACAGTGATTATTATGTCTTTTGAATTGGTTATTGAAGGATTTAGAATGGTACCATCATGGCATCATGAATTGCTACCATCTCAGAATGATCAAGGACTACATTGATTCTTATTTATTTATGCATTTTTGGTGGATCTTTTCATCGGCTTTAAATTTGCTTAGAATTTTTCCTGCTTTTTTGGCTTTCTATTTATATCCTCATTATCATGTATCTCTAGGCAAAAATTCTTTTCCTGGAAATTATTTTCCTGTGGCCTATATTTTTTAGCTCATCTAGGTTAATTATGTACAGTACTATAGTTCCACGAACTATTATCTCTTTTGACAGACTAATCCTTTCCAGCAGATAAGCTTGTTTCTACCAGAAGATTACCCTTCAAAAGTACGTCTGAGTGCTCAAGATCAAGTTCATACAAAGGCGCCATGGACATTGGATTCAAATGATGTGGACTCTGATTGTCGTCGCTCTAGGCTTGAAGGCAGTCATTGCGTGGACCCATTGAAGGAAAAGATCTCCCATATACCCCAGATCAAATGGAAATGCCCGCCCAAAGTAAGCTAATGTCAGATGATTTTTAGAATGTTTACATTTTGAACATGTACTCCAAATCACAATTCCAAGATCAACCACAAAAATTTTTATGATTTTAGGCAAAGTGGTTGAAGTTTCTGCTTAAATGTGAATGTTAACTGGTTTGCATCTCTTAATCAAACAGTTTGTCTTGAAAAACAAATGGCGAGTGGCTGCTGCTGAAGACAGTAAAGAGGCAGAGGCTCAAAAGCGTAGGGAAATGAGAGTGCTTGAATCAGTTTATACTTGTCATTCAGCCATTCCTCCTAGGTAAATTATCTTGCTTGAGTGTCTCTGTTAGGTCTTTGCTGTCTTTTGGTTCAGCATTATTTACTATTCTCCAATTTCCATATAGCCCCTCTGCATCTTTGGATGTGGAAGAATGTGATCATGATGGTAACTACATTCCTCTCATCCCTGTCTTTCCCGTTGAAGAAGATGAAGATGAAGATGACGCAGCAGACATGCAGTCGGATATTGCAAAACCACCGAACACTCCCCTACATTTGCAGGACCAAGGTATGTTTATATCTGGAAATCCTAATGCACCTGAATGTAACACCTCTTCTCTAAAGCCATCTGCCAATGAAAAACCTGCACTTGAGATGTTATCTGGTGTACAAGCTGATGTAGCTGCTGCCGCTGCCGCCGCGTTAATTGCTATCACAAAGAGCAACGAGCAGGGAAACTTGATTGACACAGATTTGCTCATAAAAATTCTTAGCAACCCAGAAGTGATGGAGAAAATGATTAACGAACAAAAAGCTCCTGCTGATAACGAATCTGCATCCATCTCTTTGTCAAAGCCAGTGTTACCATTGGTACCCTTGCCAGTCTCACAACCCAATGTGGTAAGGAAATCAATTAATGATCACGGAGGACTTATTTCCGGATTAGAACCAGTGTTTTCATGGCCTAGTCCAATACCTGATATAGGTGTGCTAGCACAAAACTTGCAGCCAGTATCAAATGTTATGATGCAACCCAGCTTACCCATGGAGCCGGTTTCACCAGATTCCGTCTCAGTGTCCTCTTCCTCCGCCATGACTCCTAAGAGAATGATTAATGAATATGTAGCACCAGACAGTGTGGGAAGTGAACCCATGTCCCGGCCTATACCATTAACTCCAGTGTTTTCATGGTCTAGTCCAAAACCTTATATAGGTGTGTTACAGCCAAACTTGCAGCCATTACCACATGCTGTGACGCAACCTGACTTACCCATGGAGCCACTTTCACCGGATGCTGGTTCGGTATCCTCTTCCTCAGCCATGACTATTAAGAGATTGATTAATGAATATGGAGCACTTGGCACTGCACGAAGTGAACCCATGTCTCAGTCAATACCATTTACTTCAGTGTTTTCATTGGTTAGTCCAAAACCTGATATAGGTATGTTACCGCCAAACTTGCAGCCGTTACCAAATGCTGTGATGCAGCCTGACTTACCCATGGAGCCACTTTCACCGGATCCTGGTTCGGTATCCCCTTCCTTAGCCATGACTATTAAGAGAATGATTAATGAATATGGAGCACCAATAAGTGAATCCATGTCAAAATCAATCCCATTAACTCCAGTGTTTTCATTACATAGTCCAAAACCTGATATGGGTGTGTTACCGCCAAACTTGCAGCCATTCCCAAATGCTGTGATGCAACCTGACTTACCCATGGAGCCACTTTCACCGAATGCTGATTCGGTATCCTCTTCGTCATTCATGACTATTAAGAGAATGATTAATGGATACGGAGCACCTGTCAGTGCAAGTGAACCCAAGAATGAGTTGATGTCACCAACCCCAGTGGCTTCGTTGTCTAGTCCAAGACCTGATTTTGGTGTGTTTTCCATGACAAACTTGCACCCAATGCTCGGGACCATTCCAAGATTCTCAAACATGGCTGCCCCTCTAATGAAGGACGCGAATTACTACAAAACCCTTGTTAAGCAACATGGAGAAAAGCATGAAACTCAATTTGGCAAGCCACACAGTCATGTACAAGAACATAAACAGGCACAGCACTTTAAACCAATAAAAACCAACGAAAAGAATCAGAAGCCTTGCATGTACTTTAACAGCTCAAAGGGGTGTCGAAATGGCTCCAAATGCTGGTACGAGCATGTCATGCCGAATAAGTCACGGCCTGGCAGCGTACTGGAGGCTCCAATTGCAAAGAAAATGAAACTAGGCAAGGAAATTAGTGGAAATACATAATGAAGTGGTTGCCATAGCTCCTTGAGTAAGACTCTTGGGAACTGGATATTGTCAAAGTATGCGGTTGTTTGTGGTTTGTTCTCTCTGTAGAATAGTTTCTTGAGACTTTTTCAAGGTTTTGAAGTGTTCATATTCTGGGAATAGAGTTTTAGAGAAATATGAGAACTTTGGTTTATGGACGTTGCAAACATTGCATATGATGGTTTGGTGCAATAAGCTGTTGTATTGGTCGACATTGGACCTTGGCACGTATTTACGTACCCTGACAGAACTTGAACAGAAAGTGATCACAATCTGTTATAATTTAATTATCAATCTGCATGGCCGATAATGACTGAATTCTATTAATAACCTTATTATATAAGATTCAGTAGCTAACATGCATAAATATTCAATAGTAACTGTTAAATTCAATTAAGCAAATACACTGCATTTAACCATCATACATCTCAACTTCTCAAGAAATATAGAATTCACAAAATCAAAAACAATTTTTAGTGGCTTTACTGAGCAGAAATAAATGAATTTATACCCGATCTTTTTCTAACCGCATACCATTCAATAACCCAATTCGCTAAGAAAAATAGTAAAGTTAAATACATTTTGATACTTGCAAATAGTGTATATATATAATTAGATAATATATTTCTTATGCCATTTAGAATTATTATTAGATTAGATCACCTATAATTCATACCTTATAAAGAAGGTCACCAACTACCACTCTTGGTTGGTGGTGATTTCTGACTTTTTAATCCATATAATTGGTATCACGATATCATTTAATTTCAAACCAGACAGCAAATTAAAATAATCAGCACTCAGTCCCATCGAAATGAGTAAAAGAAAAAGTTCTGAAACAATGGAATCATATCGTGCACGTAGGCCACAGTCGGTCCTGAAGAATAACAGCAGAGAAAACACCACCTTTAAGCATTGGCTATAGGCACTATTACAGCAAGGTTATTTTGCATAATCAGACACGAAAATTTCATATCAGTAAAATGCTGGCATCAATAAATCCCATAAAAGATTGTTGATCACTAATCAAGCTGTTCTCATGATGATGTGAACTCCACTGTCAGTATCCACAATATCGCTCATCTCGCCAACCTTCAGTGCATAAGTTGTTTCTTCAAAAGGCTTTTGCATCTGACCCCTGCCAAATGAACCTGCGTGTATTTTACAAAGTTTGGTTAGTGCAGTACATTTGGGACAATAACATACGCTAATGCATCTCGAATCCAAAATTAGGAATACATAAATTAAATAAATCATATTTCAGAATATAACAGGAATGAAAATTATGCTAAAACAAAAGGAATTAAGAAGTAATTCAAAAGTAAAAAATGGAGCGCTCAAGTCACAGTAAAAATCCTTCCACCATAATGCATACATTCTAATTAGAAGGTACATAAAGGGTTCAAGTTTGAGCACAATGATTAGATTGGTGTCATTTATTCAACAATTATTGCATTGATATCAAAAGGAAAAAAAGTGAGGAATGCATTGGTATGGATCTGGGATCTTTATTTTCTCCTCCCAGTCAATTTGGCCTATCATCCTGCAGGTCAACTGCACTTTACAAATTGTTACAATGAGCTGCAGCTATTCAATAATTTGAGTGAACTCGGTAATTCTCATCCAACTCCGGCTTTAACACCATATTTGAAGCCGATAATGTTCAATTGCATGTATTCAATTTTTTTAACAAGCTTACTTGATTTCAATCATAGTTTGCAAAACCATAAATTCTGCATCTCTGATCATTAACTTTCAGGGTGGGTATAAAAGATGGCAGAGTAATATCTTCAGTTACTGGGAGAGAAGTTTTGATATATAGCTTTGTTGCATCTTTAGAGGTGAAAATTTTTCATTAATCCAGCATCAAGCACCGATTTTCTAGGTTTATGCTTCCGCTTTTCTTAAAGCACACCAGTAAGAAGCCTGTAGACTCTGATCAATGGCACATTGACAAGGACCACTTACGAATGTGAAGGGTTTCATAAACTCCTAATGCCTCCACCGGCAAAGCACACAAACTGCTTGAAGTCTAGTTTTCTAATGCTCAACGAACAACTCAACTGGCATAAAATGAGCTATTTGTACAGGCGAATAACTTTTCAAAAGATATATCCTTTAATGCCTGGTTTTCAAAAAATAATGATGATGAGCAAGCTGACCTCAAACAAAATGAGAATAAGAAGAGGCAGAGCCAAAAACTTCTCTGATAATCTTTTTCATAGCTCACCCCTACCTACAAGATACTGAGAACCACAGCAAACACAGATCTCTAACCCATGAATTATAATAGTAAGTGAACCAGGATCAGCAAACAAACTAGTGATAATATTTGCCTTTCCAAGCCACTCTCCCCTTCTTTGGGGGACGGGAGAGGTGGTCTGATTTTTGGCCACCAAAATAGAACAGAACAATGACTGAAATGAGCAAAAAAGAGGATAGAAACAATGGTCACCATGTGCCGGAATATTGTCTGACCCAACACACCAAGGTGGAATTAACAAACAAAAACAAAAGAAGAGTATAAATTTCTAATTATACTGTGTTTCAGTGCTACCATGTCACCAGAGTATGCTCATCCATTCCTACTCCTAGTATCTTTATCGAGGATTTGTGGATTGGGTACAACCTAGGACTATAGCATAATGTTCTAGTTAATGAATCCTCGTGTCTTTTCCTAAACATATCGGGATCTCCTTTCAAAAACATAATTAATTAAAATAGGAGAAAATGAAAAAGTTTAGCAGCTAGTGTCTGACTTCCAGAAGAGAAAGTAGCAGCTCTAGTTCAATGCTAGCAGTTACCACTTTGGGATCAGCAGAGTAATTTAAAACTATGAGGAAGTGATAAAGCTTTTAATTTATATAATTGAAAGCTTCACTACAAACTTTGGGCCAAAAGAATGCCTGTACTTGAAAATACCATTTTACTCAAAAATGTTTGCCACACGTGAACTTATAGCTAGTTCAATCACAGCAACAACAATAAAAACATAAACAAAATGCGCTCATGTTGCTGTTAAGTAGAAAGGGCATGAAAACCTGTCATACATGAACAATATACTAACAACTATGATGATTCATAGTTCCAATGAAGGATATAGAAAAACTGTTGTGATGAGAAGATGCAAAAGAAAAAACAAAATGTATAACAAATCATTGTAGGAACAGATGGATCCTATTTACATTTAACATAAAGAAGGTAACTTCTATGCTGACTTTTCTGGCTAACTTTCAAGACAGTATATCTGGCAATCAAGGCCAAGAACTCAAATGGATTCATGAAGGTTGTTTAATGACCGATGATCCCATGGATGACAAGGATGGTGGGCACTCCCTGAGTGTGAGTTGCAACATGATCCTCAGATAATGATTTGCCTGATCGTAGACAACCTAGGAACTAGAACATAATCACTCTGAAATCATTCATATTTGTCTTTCCACTAATGGACACTCCTTATTAATAGGCTATCAGGGACCTTGCAGAGCTAGCCATGGTCACATCACAGTATCCTATATATAAATATATAGAGAAGAAAGTGAACAGGAAAAATTAGCGTATTTAGTAATTATCCTTAATCCGCACTACAACCAAGGCTTGAGAGAAATCTGGGTTAACTCCACACACATGTTTACATATATGTATTTATAGTAAAATTGCAAGTGCAATGAACGTGAATAGAAAATGAGAATGCAAATACTGGTATATCTGCATGTATAAAAGTTCATCAGGAGTTTTTCTTAATGCTTATATATCCCTATTCAAGAAATGGATACAAATTTTGAGAAAGTAAGGTCTCAATGAAATGTTTAATCATACTTTTGTAGGCATGCAAAAGCTTTAATTCCAAATCAACATCCAACTAAATTTTAAGAACACCATTTCTAGGGGCAGGGGAATGTATATACAACTATACATGTCATTGGTCATCGATGATTTTGGGAGAACATGTTTAATTGTACCATACCCTGTTTTACTTATGCTATGCAGAAAAATTGGCACAACTTCATAAAAACCCAGAAAAACTTGCATCAACATACACCTTCGCTACTACATGAACTCTACCTTCACTCCCCTAATAACCCCCATGCTACTATTCCTACTCCACAATCCATACTAAACAAATCTCATATCCTTAATTTTCTTTTCAATGCTACTAAATAAACAACCATCCGTCATATGTTTCATAAAATTATCACGTAAATATTAATCTTTGAACCATTGATTTTTCATAAATTGGAAAAAATACAAAAATCAGCCACACAAAACGACTAACTTTTGGCTTGGCCGATCAAAACTACATATATTTTGGAATTAAAATAAGATAATAAAATAAAATAAAATTTTCAAACTTTCAATTTCCTTCTCTTCAGAGTTCTCTCAGCAACCGAATAGAGGTATTAGTAGTGTCAATCAACAGATCCAAATCAGAACCATCAATATGTTCTATTCTTTTACTTTGATTGGCAAATCAGAAAAATCAAACTTTACAGTCAAGCACATACAAGTATGATGATCTATAAGCAGAAAACAAAATCAAGAGGAAACTAAAATTTTCAATAAAATTTCCAAAAAAGGAAACCCTAGATGACTGACCGAGATCGCCGCCGCGCTTGGCGGAGCTGCAATCGGAGTGACGAGCGGCGACGTCGACGAACTTGGCCTTTCCGGAGACGATGTCATCGCGGAGAGCTTTGAGCTGAGAGACAGCGCTGTCTCTAGTTGTGGTGCTGATGACTCGCCCTTCTGGATCCTTCCAGGAAGCCTTCCTTCGAGATCCTTGGTGCTTTATCAGAATATGCGAAGCCCTAACTTTATCAGATGACATCTTGCTCTTCTTCTTGTGCTTCTCCGTCCGATCTGACGACGCGATCGAAGTCTTCTTCCTCTTCCGATCAGACTCTATCTTTACAGGTATATGCATATATATATATATATATATTTGTTATATAGAGAGAGAGGAGAGATGATGACTTTTACCTGTTTTTGCTTAGAATTGTGACGAGAAGGTTGTGTTAGTACCAGTACCTGAGCTTTATATTAAGAAAAAGCCTCCCGTGAATAGCGACAAATTATTGCTATTGATTTTGTGCACTTTAATCAAAGATTTACAACACTGTGCAACCGTTCGGGTTCGGGTTCGGGTTCGGGTTCGGGTTCGGGTTCGGGTTCGAGTTCGGGTAAGTGACGACGCAATGGATTTAATGAAGAATTGGTACAAGTTAGTTAGGATTTGAATAAGTAATGTAAAACAATCAGTTTTGAGACTCGAAAAGTGACGATCCAAAGAATTCAGTTGAGAATTGATGGTTCGATTATAAAGTTTCAAATTTCGCTACGAATCGACTTATTTAACATATAGTACTTCAAAAATAAAACAGACATACAACATAGTATTGTAAGAAAAAAATGATCTTATTATTATTAATCTTAACTTTTATTTAAATAATTTTATAATTATTCATATTTTAGAGGTGTGACTTTTATCATATAACTACAGTTTATTTACAGAGGGTTGTGTTGGTTGATGGAACCAACATGCCTTTTGTTGATTGAAAGTCTGAATTCATCGTCAGTTTCATATGAAAAGATAGAAAGTTAAATAGTATTTTTGATATAGTTTATGTCAAACTCAAACTGCCAACGATGGAAAGTATGTTTCTAAACAATGTTTATGCATTACAACCATATATTTTATTATTGTTGAATTGCTTACATGTGATATCAGAGCCAAACATAAACACTGATGTATAAATCTATTTTAATTTCATCAATACTCTATTTATATATTTTATATATTCTATTTAATTATACAATACTCTGTCTCTTGTGTGTGCCCGCGCGCGTGCGCATCTATAAAAGTGATAGAAACAAAATATATATGTACAGCATTATGTATAAAATTTCTGTCTTGTATATATATCCCGTTTTCAAGTGTGTAATTTGAAGGCAAGTGTGTTAAAATATCAGTGCTACTATCATATTTGAAGTTCATTTTTGAGCTTTTTGTATTGGAATAGGTAATAAATGAATATAAAAAAATGGGATCATGAAGTTGATTATATGCAGCTAAAACCTACATATTGTACAATATAGGAAAATACTAACAAAGAAATGGAGCTCATAAAGATTATTAATGAATTTGATCCTTTCTACTTAGGTTATTATATTTTATTTTGACATTTCCTAATAATGATTTCTTTTATAATCCGGATTTGTGAAATATGGTGCCCGATAGGGATGTTAGCTATTTTGATTTTCCAATCATAGAATTGATTGCTTACTAACCGGATTCATAAGGGTATGTTTGGATTGAGAGATTTGAAGGGATAGTGAGAGAAAATAAAAGGAACGATAGGGAGGGATCCCTCCCCATCCCTCCCTATCCCTCCTTTTCTATCTCTTCAAAAATGAAAAAATAGGGAAAGAAAGGATAGTATTTAAGTAGTATTTTAATAATTCCGAAACTACTATCAACAATTAAAAGGAAGAAATTATTATTCCACTCATATCCCATCTATTTTAAAGGATATGATAGTAATTTCATTGTTATCATTTCTTTTCTTTTCTACTCTCTATTATATCCAAACAAGAATACTATACTTTCTTTTCTATCTATCCAAACATAAATAGAAATTATTGTCATCCTTTCTTTTCTTTTCTTTTTTCTCATAACTAATACTATCATTTCTTTTCTTTTCTCTCCTACTTATCCAAACGCACCCTAAGCCATTATTTTGTAGTAACCACCATGGCATGCATCATGACTGGGTTATCTTTTATATAGTTAAGTATTGTTAGGCCGTACATATTTTCTATGCAGGTATATATTGTTTTTAACAATTGATTTTACCAAGTATAATAATGACCAGCATAGTAAAAATAAATAAATAAAAAATAATGTATCAAAGGCACTGACCAAATAAATCTTTCAATGTGGAAATATTTGATCTGGGAAATTCCTATGCCACACTAAATGGTATCATTAGTATGTAAATGTATTAAAATTGGCATAATAAATATAATTATGCATATTGCCTCATGTTTAATATTGATGTATATTTGTATATTGGGCAGATTCATTTAGGAAAATTGAATTATTTTTAAATCCTAAGCACAAATGTTAATGAAATTAGATTGTGTGTTTAGTCACTAAAGTGACACACTCATGATAATTTCAATAGTATGGCAGTGGTAAAATTATGTTTTTGCTAAAGTTAAAGGATTGGAATTACGTTTAGTTGAGACGAGCAACAATCTAACCCAAAGGTGGATTATTGAGATTTGTACAATTAAACGGATTGAGATAATTAATGTAGAATATATAATAGATAATATCTATTCCCAAATGAATTTATTTTTGGTATTGTATTATCTATGATTAATTAGTCTTAAAGGTGAAATTTGTTTTACTAGTGGGAGACTAACATTTAACAATATTGGTCCAAAGAAAATATTGTTGAATGTGATGTTTGATCATATTCGGAGTCAATTATTTTGAGGCATTACTTATTGATTCTAAAAAGTTTGATTGTTTTCCCATTAATTAAACTATTTAATTATGGCCTTAATTATTTTGATTTTATGTTATTATTGCATGGCAGTTGGTTCATTACCATGTGTAAAGGTCCTGACTGGGTCTAATTTTTCAGATTGGAAAGATAAAATAATTTTTAATTTAGGACTTGAGGATTTAGACTTAGCCATTAGGTCAATTGGACCACCTAAGCCTACAGACACTAGTGGTGCAGAGGTGAAAAATGAATGGAATAAATGGGACAGGTCTAATAGACTTAGTCTAATGTATATTAAGAATAATATTCCTAAATATATTAGGGATGTCATTCCTGATAAACCATTGGCTAAGGATTACCTTAAGGTTCTAGAAGAACATTTTATTATTTCGACTAAGTCACTGGCTAGCACTCTTATGACCCAATTAGTAACCGTAAAATATGATGGACTTAGTGGTGTGCGTGAGCATATCATGAAAATGACTGATGTTGCATGTCAATTGAAAATTCTGGATATGGAAGTTAGTGACTCTTTTCTAATCCACTTTATTATGACTTTTCTTCCTGCGCGATTCGATATTTTTAAAATTACTTATAATGCGCAGAAAGATAAGTGAAAATTAACAGAATTAATTAGTATGTGTACACAAGAGGAAGAGCGAACCCGACACAATAAACCTGATATGGCATACATTGTGGATCAGAAAACAGTCAAGAAAAATAATAAGAAAACTGGGAAAAAATGGTATAAAAGTTAATGATGTTGGACCCAGTTAGGCACATAAAGTGGAGAAAAAGAAAATTCAATACTTCTGGTGTCACAAGCGAGGCCATGTCAAAAATGAATGTTTTAGTTACAAAAACTGGTTAGAATCTAATGTGTTCAGAATCTAATTTAGTCATTGTCTAATGTGTACAGAATCTAATTTAGTCATTGTTCCACCAAATACTTGGTAAATTGATTCCGGGGCTGCTATTCATATTTCTAATTCCTTGCAGGGATTCATAAGGAGACGGAAAATCAATCTCAACCAAAGGACACTTACCATGGGTAATAGGGTAGAAGCAAAAGTTAAAGATGTGGGAGCTGTTCATCTTGTCCTTAATAGTGGTTTTGTATCAGAGTTAAAAGATATTTTATATGTTCCTTCAATATCCAGAAATTTGATCTCTATACCTAAACTTGATATGTTGAACTATGAATTTCGTTTTAGTAATCGTACTATCAATATCTTTTATAATTTCAAATTTAATGGTTCTGGTTCATTAGTTGATAGTCTTTATCTTCTAAATCTTGATCCAAATTTTTCACAATCTCTTTTGTCTTTTAATGTGAGTACCAAACGTGGTCTTACCAATGATTCTTCTTCTATATTATAGCATAGGCGTTTAGGTTATATCTCTAGAGAGAGATTAGAAAGATTGGTTAAAGAAGGTGTTTTGAACACATTAGATTTTTCAGACTATGGCATATGAATTAATTGTGCTAAAGGAAAGTTAACCAAGTCTAGACATAAGGGTGCTACTAGAAGTAATGGCCTTTTAGAGCTTATACACACAGACATATGTGGTCATTTCATTCCTGCTACACTAAACGGGGAAGAAATACTTTATTACATTTATTGATGATTATTCTCGTTATGGTTATGTGTACTTGATTGGTGAGAAATCTGAGGCACTGGATATTTTTAAAATTTATAAGACAGAAGTCGAGCGTCAACTTGATAAGAAAATTAAAGTAATACGATATGATCGTGGTGGTGAATACTATGGAAGGCACGATCATACAGGTCGTAATCCAGGGCCATTTGCCAAGTATCTACAGGAGTGTGGTATAGTTGCGCAGTACACCATGCCGGGTACCCTTGAGCAAAATGGTGTAGCTTAACGGAGGAATCGCACTCTTATGGATATGGTGCGAACTATGATGAGTAATTCATCTTTACCAAATTTTTGTGGGGTGAAACTCTTAGGACTGCTGCATATATCCTAAATTGAGTGCCATCTAAGGCAGTCTCAAAGACTCCTTTTGAGTTGTGGATAGGAAGAAAACCCAGTTTAAATCACTTGCGTATCTGGGGATGTGCAGCAAAGGCTAAATTATACAACCCACATGAAAGGAAACTTGATCCCAGAACAGTCAGTTGTTATTCTGTAGGATATCCAGAAAGGTAAAAAGGTTATAGGTTTTATTGTCCATCACATAGTACCAAACTTATTGAGACCCTAAATGCAAGGTTCATTGAGGATGGTTATACCAGTGGGAGTATAGAGCCCAGGCACATGGTATTTAAGGAAAATCGAAATATAAATTTAGTTCCTCAGGATGATATAGTTATTCCACTCGCTACCATGTAAGATGGTGATTTAAGTCATTAAGAGCCTGAAGAGAAAACACCTCATATAGAAGAAATCTCAAATGAACCAATAGCTGACATGCCATTACGAAGATCAAGGAGAGAAAGGAAAAGTGCTATTCCAAATGACTATGAAGTTTATCTATAAGAGATTG